CTTCTTCTTCTTCTTCTTCTCTCTCTCTCTCTCTCTCTCTCTCTCTCTCTCTCTCTTTCTCTCTCTCTTTTATTCTCATTCTTATATTTTTCTTTCCGCAATCGATCGCCCAGGACTCGAACGCAATATTTTAGAAATTTGATTATCGTGGCGCTATTATTTATTTATTATCAGTATTCGTAAAATTCTTTTACAATTATTTACTTATATAAATGATATATATATAAATAATCAATGCAATCCTGTTTATAAGTAACTGGATACCATATTATTTTAAGAAGTTTAAGAAAATAGACTTATAATAAGATAATTGAGAAATATTACGTAATCCTTTTTTATGATATATTTACACATACAATAACTGTTTGCTTTGTAATTACAACGATTATCTATCCCTTTATTATAACTTAATAATGTATCCAGAGACTTATCGACAATGAAATTCTAAAATTTGATTATTAGCTTTCTGCAGTACCCTTGGATTCATTCTATTGACTTAAAATTTTCATTAGTATTCTTTAATAAATTCTGAAAAAAGTTAGAATTGCTAATAACTTTAAATAATAAATGATATGATAGTTAAGATATTCAAAATTTTACAAATGAAGCCAAGGATATCGGGGAGGATTTAATTTTCAAATAAAATAAACATGACAATGTTATTTCACGAATACGAATGAAAATGATATTTCTCGAGTAGCATAATCGAATTTTCTATAAGCGTTTCCATGGTCCTCGGCAAACGCTGCACGCGAATCGACGCGTGACTCAACACAGTGTCATAAGTCGTGCGAAGAGCGCGAATCGCCACGGAGGCGGACATTATTATTAATTGTTGTTATTGTTTGTTTGTTTAGTCTATTTTCTGCCGGGTCGTGTCATGTTGCCCGGCTTCGTCAATTTGTTAATTTATAATTTCATGAGATAGATTCATTATTCCATAATTTAATAACTATGCGTAGAATTTTTCATTGTGCAAACTATGTTTTCGTATGAAATTATCCTTGATTGTACGATGATCGAATTAAATCTGGAGAAGACTTTAGAGAACATAGTTTGTACCCAGAAACCTATAACGATATTAATTTCAATTTTAGCAAGCAAAATATTATTAAATAATTATATAATTTGTAATATTTTTTCGTTTGAAGAAAAAAAAACAACACCTTTTCTATATTTATTTTTTAAAAATTTAAATAATCGTAGTATTAATTTGTAGTTTTCAATAATTGAAATTTTATTTGTTTAAAGAGAGAAAAATTTTAATATGAAAATTAATTTCTTTCTTTAAAATGACATCTCTAATCATCGATTTCAAAATTTGCAATTTCCAAATGTGAAATTAATTTTGAAAACTATTTGTTTTAAATTTTATCATACCTTATGGAATTATTAATAAAATAATTTGATCTTTTTACTATTTTATTTTCAACCGATTCGTACATAAAACGTATACAAAATTATATCGTATCTCTTGATTCGATAACTTTTAACGAAATTATAAAATAAGGGGATATAATTGAAATTTTGATTTATAAGAACAATTTTATTTCGCCACGACTTTAATTCCGATTTATATATTATTTTTTAATATTTTGATATTCTCGGCCAATTCACAGTTTTCTAGTTTTGTATAATTCATCGATTTTAATTATCTTCTGCGTTAGTCAATTAAACGTGATCGAGCTCAGGGGACAAAATGGCGGTGGTCAATTGGACTTCGAACGAATTGTGCTTGATGGTGACGAAGCCGCGGCAACGTCGCTAAATCAGACTCGAGGAAGAGCGAGCAGAACGTGTTGCATAACTCACATGCATTTAACTTGATTTTTATTTTGTTTAGCTCAATAAATAGAGTAAGCGAATCCATTAAGCGGAGGACAGGTGTATCATTAACGATAATACTTCTTACATATATATATATATATACATATACATATTTTTTTTGTTAATTATTTCTCCTCAGTGTCGTAAGATCGTGCGTTTTAACCAAATGAACTAATGAACGTCCGTGATCGTAAACGAAGAAGACGAACGAACCTCGTATGTACCTTGTATTATCACACGAAACTTACTAACTTGTCCTTTTTCTGTGTCCAAAATGAAATTACTCCTTTATACATTATACATACCGCATGTGTATGCATATAGAGAGATATTTGATTTATATATATTATACATAATATAAAATATAATATAATATATAATATGATAATACGTATAAATATATTCTGTTGTACATACCGTCTCCAAGAGAACCTCTTCTACTTAATTTTATTGTAATTTTTGTATACTTAGTATCTGTATACTTATGTGTAATTTTAATAAAAATGAATAATACTAATTGGTCGTTTTATTTAATTTCTTTTCTTAAGAAATTTATTAATTAATTAATTAATATTTTATAGAAAATGAATTTGAAAATATATAATATATAACGTGTAAATATATACATATACATATGCAACAAAATAATTCAAAGTAATTAATATATACGGTTAATCGATTTAATATTTAAATTAATGAACAGCGATCACTAATAAAAAACACTACTCATGAGAATGAGCAAAAATGTATTTTTTTGCATTTTATTTGAACGATTATTTTTTTTGTTATTATAATTTTTCAAAAATATGACAAAATTTCTATTTCATTATATAATCGTTCATTTAATTAAACGTTTGAAAGATTTATCAAGAATAAAAATTTGAAGTGATTCAATGACATTTTGCAGATTAATTAGATAATAATGTTATTAAATATTAGATAAAGAATACATATATATCTACTTATTATATAATGAAAGTAAAAGTATTTATGTAAATATTCATATTTTTATTAACAAAACTATATTAATGAAAATACAAGTTTGTTTCATTTTTTAAATGTTAACAAGTAAATACATATTATATTTTAAATATTATTCTTATTTTTACTCATATATATTTTGTTACATACATTATTCCAGATTTAATAAATAATAAATATATAATAATTCATATATAAAAATATTTTTTCCACTTTCAAAAACTACGAAACAATATTAAAATTTTGAATGTAGTTTATAATCTATTACGTTCTACAAACAAATCTTACAATATTAAAATTTCTAGATTAGATAAATTTTCTTGCAAGAATTGCTCTGTAATTAACAATTCAATGCAAATAACAATTCACAATTTCACAATTTCCATGCAACACCATGAGCATTTAAGTGCATAATCATTAAAAAAAACTTTAAGGAACAAAATCAAAACCAACCAATTTTGCTAGCATTTTAAATAAATCTAAATAAAGAGAAAAATCTCTGTGAAATTTCATCATCAATTCATCCCCTAAAGTAAGAAGCAAACCAACTTCGCCCTCCCACAATTTACCATGATTACAATTGTCACCGTTAATCTCGAAAAGCATCGAAAACCGCTCAAAGTTATCATGCTACGCCACTGTAACGAAAACAACTTGATTCTCGCGTGCACAAAAAGCGGGGACGTGCAGCGGTCCCCGTTTCTCGATTCGTCGCGGCGCGAGCCATGGCCTGCAAGGCTAAAACGAGGCTAATCCGCAAAACAAACCGATCCTGTCCAAGGGGGCCGGAGTTCGGTGCCTCCATCTCGCGACGGGGCATTTTCGTGGGGCCCGCGGACGGTCGAACGCGACGAAAGGGCCAATTCGTCGAAGAGGCCCGGCGCGAACGACGACTACCGCAAATGACTTTATTTATACCGTCGCCCCTTATTAGGGACTCCCCGATCCGTAGCCGTGTAAGGTTGTCGGAAGGTAATTTCGCCGGTATCGGGGCCTTCTTTTGTCGGGCGCGTGGTTTTTTGCGCCTGCCCCCACGCCGGCCATCGGGCTGAAATTACTACCACGACCGAACAGGCGTGCAAGTTTTTCGAGACGAGCGTTACGTGAACACGGCCTTACGTGCAACACGCGACTTGCGTCGCGATGCCGGTTGTTCGTTTCGTTGGAAAAGAAAGTCGAGGCGGAGATGAGTTCTTTTGAACGTTCCTTGAGGAGCATGAGGCTGTATGTCC